ATGTTGACTATAGAAAAGCAACATTGCATCCTCTAATTCCTTCCCAAAACCTAAAAAAAGTTAACTATATTGTAAAGAGAATAGCTAAAAAATTAAGTTTTCCTTCTATGATGCGGTTTAGCCCCATTATCAGACAGAAGTCAGATGACATGGAAGCTTCCAATAGTGGAATTAACCATATTATAGCATTTTGTAACTAGAACCAAGGCATGTACTAAACTGATGTTCATAATGTCGACAAAGACTTGGCGTACAGAGATTTGTACTCCATTAAAAAAGTTGAAGCGGGGATAAAGACTAAACTAAAGGGTAATGCATATTTGTAATCCATTAAAAAAAAACCACATTGCTCTGGCTCGAGAATCAGTCACCCATTTGATTGTTTCTCAAGAAACAAATGTAAGAATTTGATGGCATTCTATCTATTCTGTTAAACTTGGAAAATCAAAAGTCATATATGATATTATAAGACATAACATTTTTTCTTCCCTTTCCTTCTGTTTTATTTTCTTGGCAACCAAACAGATCAAATTTATCGATCAATGTGCAACTTCCACCAATAATCCAGAGAATACGAAGGTGGGGTTTTAAATGTCTGGCTTGTAAATTATTGCCGGTGAATCGGTTGTCACAAATTGTGGTATAAACCTCAGTGACATCATCAACAATTTTTTCTAAGGCAGCCTCATTTTGAAAATAGCATTGTAAATCTCATGTTTTAACTCCAATAATTTGTGCGAAAGCGCGGAGACAAAGTGTGATTGTTTTCCCCTTCACATAAGAGGTCAGACTAAACAGTTCCTTTTGTTGGTCACTAGGTATCAAATGAACATAAAATAATTGTACAACACGGAGATATACCTTATTTGGTAAATTAGTTAAAGGTAACCATCTCATTGTATTTAATTTTCCAAGCAAGAGTGGATCATATTGAGAATGTAGTTTTACCTTTCTCCCCGTAACAATTGGTCGATTAATGAAATGTGAATAGGCTTGTTCATGATGATATGTGAAAAAATCATTCGTTGGATAGTCATGACGTTGTTGCTGTGGTTCACGTTGTACAGGGTTTGAGGATTCACCACGTTCAGGTCTGGCTCATTTTGTTCTTGGCATGAGGACTGCAAAAGTGAAAGAAAAATGTATGAAAAATGTATATTAAAACATATGAGTTAAGAAAAATGTATGAAAAATATATCAAACAGTATAATGTTGGTGTAAAAAAATGGAACAGATATGAAAAAAGGAACAGATAGGGAAACTGAGTGCGGAGGATGAATTGGTGCTTGGGATGGGATGACCGGCCAGATGTCTGGTCGGTTGTCCTGGTGCTGCTCTTCGATTCCACTTCCCTTTCCTACACTCTGAAGCTAATATGAAATGTGAAGCTAATATGAATTGGGATGAAAACTAACCTGTAATTGAATTTTTCCTTCACACGGATATACTGAATTTAATTAATGTTGTTCTATGATGGAGTTGCTGAAGGTGTTGCAATGAGATGGTGAAGATGGTGTGGTTAAAGGAATGCGGATTCAGATTTTATAGAAAGGCTGAGGTTCAGAAGGCTCAAAAGGTTTTTTTTTTAATTTACTTTTCATTTCTTATCTATTTTTTTTTTCAATTTAATTTTTTAATTTAATTACATCCGTATACTGATAAATTTACAGGTTTATCATCTGCATCGTCTTCCTTTTTCTTTAGCCCACAATGTTGAACACACAGCTACAATAGAATAGGTGGTAGGTATTGGATAAGTGAAATTACTATATTACCCTTTTCATTTTGTTCTTATGTAACAACTTCTCATTTAAATCAACAAGGGCAAAATAGTCATTTTGCACACCAATATCACCTCCAATTATATGAGCTTCACGGGTGGTGATTTGCGAAGTACAATAATACATGTCTGAACTGTTACGTTTCTTTTACTAAATTCATAAAATGTAATAAATGGAAAAAAAATTGATAATGTTTTGTAAGGTTTACGTTATGATGTGTATTTTAAAATATTAAACATACTTATTTATGTTAATTTTTATTAATATGTATTCTCAAAAGTTATTGACTTTAACAAAATTTTAGAAAAAAATAAAAAACGTATTGTACAAGATGTTTGTACAGGCCTAAAAAATGAATTGATAGAAAAATTAATTAACACAAAATAATTGACATAGAAGTAAGTTAAAATGAAAAAATTATTTGAAAAAAAAATTATTCAAAAAAATTACTGAAAAACAATTAATTGAAAAAAAATCAATTTTTAATTTCAGTATTTTAAAAATAGTTTGGTTATTGCTGTTGATAAAAAATATGGATATCGATATATGAGTTGTGTGTTTAATTATAAATTATTGATTGAATTAAGTTTTGAAAACTATTTTCCAAACTCATCACCAAACAAATTTTTTTATTTCACATGTCACATCAAACTTTCAAAACTTAATGCAACATACATCTTTAAAACACAATTCAACACTTTATTTAAAAATCATAACCAAACAAATTTTCTACACTCAAATCATAATTCCACAACTCACAAACTCAAAATACAACTCATATTCTCAAATCACATTTACAAACCTCTACCAAACGCAACCCTTTGGCTGTGTTTGGTGTGAGTTTCAAATCAAGTTTCCACCCTTATATTTGAATGCTATGTTTGATTTGAGTTTTCAAATTATGATTCCAAATCAATTTCAAAACACATTTTGAAAACATATTTGGTAAACCAAACAATTTTTGAATTTTTGGTCTACCCGATCGTCCGCCTGGACATCCTCTCGGATGTTCGACCGGTTGGCCAGAACTAGGCCTGTCAACTGGTCGGACCTGTCGAATCCGATTCGATTCGATTAACCATTAATCCAAATTCGAATCTGGTTATTAAAAATCTGATTACACGTAATCTGATTCGATCCGATCCGTTTAAACAGATATCCGATCCATATAATCCAATCAGATCCTTTTTTTCCTCTCTCTCTCTCTCTCTCTCTGTGTGGTTAGCAGCCATATAACGTCAATAAAATACCAATTATAATAATAAAAAAAAATTGTTTGTAACATCAAAGTTTGAATACTTCTACTACTCATAAGATTATACCAAAAAAAAAAAAAATTCAGCATCTAACACATTCAATGCTTTTTCTGGGGAAAAAAAAAATGGACAGAACATAAGAAGGGGAGATGAATACAAAAAGCAAACAGATAAATCATTCAATATCTAACTTATAAAAAAAATGCACCTAATATTTTTTTTATCTAACTCATTCAAAGTTAAATCATGAAACTTATATTTTTTTTTCCACTATCTAGCTCATCAATGCTAAACCATGGCAACCATAGACAAAAATAAAATAGTTATAATAGTTGACAATTGATTTATACATTTACACCCACATTTCACCACAAAAACAAAATAAAGTAATTAATGACAAATTATCCACAAGCTTCTCCTAAGTGAACTGTCTTAGACTTTGTTTGTATGCATTTAGCTGACTCCATCTCTTGCTCCATTAACACCATTATGAAGTCCTGCACTATTTCAGTCCTGCACAATTGAAATAGAAAATAGTTCAATTGAACTTGGGTTCAAGGACAAAACAAAAACAAACCCTTGTAATTCCAGTGAGATGATAGTAAAAAAGAAAAAAGAAAAAAGGTGTGTAGATAACTTCTATCACAATGCAAATGACATAGCAAGTGATTCAATTCATCTATGTTACTACCTACCAATCTAGACTATGAAGACTTCATGAACTTACCATTCACATGAAGTTACCATGCAGCATAACTCTCCTATTTTAGTATTTTCCTGATGAGATGTATGTTGGAAGAAAATAAGTAGTTATTTCTTTCAAATTCACCTGTCAGTCCTCACAAGCATTGTCTATTTGCCTGCATGTTCTTTATGTTGACTATAGAAAAGCAACATTGCATTGTCTAATTCCTTCCCAAAACCTAGAAAAGGTTAACTATTTTGTGAAGAGAACAGCTGAAATTTTTATTATTAACTAAACTCAATTCATCCAATACAATCTACATACATGGGAAATGCATGGTAATGTACAATTGAGTTTACATACATGGAAATGCATGGTAATGTACGATTGAGTTCTTGATTTGGCTAAATAACAGTTAATAAATTCATTGGGGGGTATTAAAGTGCTAACTCCAATGTTGATTGCTAATTTAACAAGCTATATTATCGCATTTTGACATATTACAGTATTAAAATGTAATAATTTGACCACTTTGTTCTAATGGTACAAATATTATTTTTAAATTTTTCTCACAATACCAAATAAAAATACTATTTGTGAACTCCATTACAAGCGAGATAGAGAGAACATACTTTGTGCCAAAAGTAACAGTGCTACAATTTGACTTTCTTTTTTTTTTTTGTTAAATTTTTTATTATTGTTGATTCAAGCTACAATTTGACACTCATATCTACAATGGTTGTGTCAAACCTCATGATAACGTTTGGTAGAGTTTGCAAGGCTTAAAATTATGATTTGAGTATAAAAAATTTGTTTGGTGAGAATTTTGAAAAGAATTTTAAATTGAGTAGGAAATATTTGATGTGACATTTAATATTTAATACAAAAACTTACAATTCATAACTAAATATACAATTCAAAATTATTTTAAAACACATAAAAATTTTAAAAAATTCAAAAAATATATTTTTTTAAATATATAAATATTAACATATCAATTGCAAAAAAAAAAAAAAAAAATCACTATTCCGGTCAACCGGCCGGACGACCGGTTAGGCCAAATTTTGAAAAAAAAATTAAAAAATGTGCTCTATTTGACAGAGTTCTCTGTAGAGTTGTGAAAAATTAACTTCCCAACTCTATTCAAACATCATACTCAAACATATATGCAGAAAATTAGTTTAAAAACATAAACAAACAGAGCCGCCTTTTGAAACTCAAAACAGTCATTCCAATGGTACGCCATTTGCTACACTTGTGACGTTGAATATAGCGATATGTTTAATTTTGACATTTACATTGCAGTTTTGGCAATAATCATTGAAAGAGTACAAGTCTACACTTAGAAGTACAAAAAGAGCCTTTTAGGTAGGACATGGGCTCATCAACACCAAATCACCACCTAAAGGAGCATAATAATGTAAATTTCTACACACAGTAAGTACACTTAATATTTTTTTTCGTTCTCAAAAAAAAAAAAATATGTATTTTCTATTTTTTCCAATCAAATACATCTCTATTATCCTACTGTTTTGGGGAGTACACTCCCATGTATAAAAATGTCATGCCCTAAATTACACATAATTTCAGATATCAACATAACCCATCATTACAATGATCACAGCCCTCAAAATAAGGGATTCAAGGAAAAAATATATTTTGCTACCAATTCTGGATGCTGCAAAATTGGCCACCTTACGGGTTTAATTTTCAAAATTTGGTCTCACTATGGCAGCAAATGAAACTTGGAAGTTCCGAAAACCACTTCCCTCAACATTTTAATGGCCATTTGTACTAATCTCCTCAAGCTGGTCTTCTTTTCTCTGATTATAGACTGATTTCCGGTGATTGATCTCCTCTCTGCACGCATGATGAAAAATCAATAAGACAATGCTCATTCGCAGTACTTACAAAAGAAAAAGGACATAAAAAGAGTGAATTAGGACATGCAAACATTTTCAGTGTCACGTAAAAAATTAAAAATAAAATTTTTGAAAAAAATATTGTCTTCATGGTGTTTAACCTTGCTTATCGACATTTTCTACCTTTTCTCATTCCAAGCATTAACTAACAAGATTCAATAATATATGCACAACTAAAAATAAATGCCTTAACTATCACATGCAAACTTTACAAATCCATTTACTGAGGATTCCAACAAAAAACCATTGGTACCCTCCATATAAGTTTAGATTGGTTGGGTGCAATAATTTACCCAGAATCCATGTAGTTCCCTAAACCACACAAAGAGGTTCATGACTAGAGGTTAGGATTTATCAGTTCTAATTCCACATAAATTGCAATATTAAACACAAAACTAAGTCAATTGAATTGTTGGTAAAAGTGCACTGTATATAAAAAATAAAAAATAAAAAAGCGTCCAAAATGCATAAGCATCAGATAGTACAATTGTAATTTCAAAACTGAACAGATCACAGATCATCTGCATCCAATTTTTAGTTTTAAAAAAATAATAAAAAGAACAATCCACGTGGAGTTCTTTGGGCTTTTGAATATGGAAAGTTTTTGGATTTTGATACATTCACCCTTTTTGCCTTTTATTGAAGAAAGATAACATGTTAGGTGGATTGCACAAAGCAAAGTTAATGCAGCCAAGCCATATATCTTAAAGTTTTTATTTCTGAAAGTAAAAAAAAAAACAAACACTGACAAAAGGGAGACAAGAAGCATTAGATAGTTCATAACAACTCATATATAACCATCAAACAGAAGCAAAGATAACCTGAGACTGCTCCAGACTGAATCATAATAGAGAATAGCAACGATTCTGCGTTTTGTTTCTCTTTGGAAATCTCCTCCGCGCTTGACCACAGGTAGTTGCTTTATTCCCTTGGCCTCCATTAGCTGCTTTGCAATCCCCAAATCATTATCTGGATAACAAGTTAAAAGTCCACGCTCTCGCCCACGGTAACTTATCCCTCGAGTGCATATGGAGGAAACAAGGCATGTATATACCTGTAGAGAAGTCAGGTTTAGGTATTGTCATAAAACATGAAAATGAATGAGAGTAAATATCATCTCTTAGAGGTGGATTAAAGAATCCCGACACAATGCAGCAATAGAACTTGAAAGTATAGGATATGTTTGCCAAACTTGAAGTGCACTAGAAGCATATAAATAATATTAATTGCCATTACATACATCCTGAAGTGATGAATCGCCCTCAGAAAGATCACCAGACTTGGTTAACAGAAATCTTTTGATGTCACCATACGTTAAAATTCCGACCAAGAAATCTTCAGCATCAACCACTAATACACAATGCTGTTGATTGTCATGCATAGATACTATAGCCTCTTTCACAGTAAAAGTTACTGCAACCTTCACATAGTTCTTTGACATGGCCTGCGAAACCTGATCACAAGCAAAGTAGAGAGGTTGAAGTTGAGACACATAAAACTATAACAAAAATGCATGCTCCAGATTAAATAAATGCAAATAAAAAAAATCCTTAAATCAGTCCCAATCAGGAAAAAATAAAAATATACCTTCAGGTCTTCCAGAATAATTTCTTCATCAATTACTTCACCGTTTTCACCATTTCCCATAACAGAGAGTTCTAACTCATTTCCATCACCAGTTCGTCTCGAAATACCTTTGTTTTTGTCTCCGATGGGTGAGAGAGCAGAATAAACCCTAGTAGAGCTCCTTGAATCGGATGCCTCAGTCTCCTTGCACTGCTTTGTTACAGAGGGTACCCATATTGCTAACCCAACAGCCCCCTGTTTGCAAAAAATTTAGAACATACAAACATTAAATCAAACGCGGGTGCGAACACACACACATATAGATTACATCTCAATCCTTATAAATCAAGATTGTGTAGGAATTACCATGAGAGGAAGCAAGATCCTGTAATCCTTTGTCAGCTCAAACAGAAGTAAAACTGATGTCAAGGGTACTGAACAAACTGCAGCTAATGTAGCAGCCATTCCAACCTGAAGTGTGATAAGAAGTACAAACACACATCAAGAACTAATAATTTTGATCAATCAAGAAGAAGATACAAACAAATTATTACATGCATAAGCTGATTTGAGCATATTTAAGTAGAATGCAATGACCACTTACCAGTGCATATGCCTGCGGTTGGGCAATAGCAGCATTTCCTGGAATGGCTGAATTGATTAGTTCGGCAGCTGAGCCACCAAATACAGCACCCACAGCAGCACCAATCATCAAACTTGGAGCATACAGCCCACCAACAAGTCCAGACCCCTTGCACAGAGCTGTGGCAACAACTTTAGCTGCTGCTAATTGAGCTAGCAGCCAGATTCCAGGCGCTGAAACGCTCTTTCCAGTATGAAGAATTTCATCAACATTAGTGAAACCCCAGTAGAGTATTCCAGGATACTTGAGAGCTATCAACCCAGCTCCTAAACCCCCCAAAGCAGGACACACAACCGCAGGGACCCCAAATTTTTCCTTGATAAACTCAAACGCCTCACCGAACCAAGTTACCAAACGAGTGAATATTACACTTACTACCCCACATAGCATACCCAATATCAGGTACAAAGGTAGTTCTGCAAAGAAACAGCAGTGTATAATCAACACTGTAGATCACTAAAAATCCATAAATTGTAAGTTACTGGTAGAATTATGCAGATAAAATTACTTGAGTTCCCATAGCACAAAATAATTTAGTCCCCACATCAATTACATTCATGCACACACAAAGAACTGTAATCCTGATTCTTAGTTAAGCATGCCTTTTGTTAGAGAAAACATTAAGAGAGAGAGAGAGAGAGAGAGGGAGGAGGGGGGAATCCGAACATGGTTGTAAATTATTTTTTGAAATCCAAGTGGAGAATCTCTCTATGATCCATGCTCACATCTTGACGGGAACTGATAGAGATGAGATTTAAATTATTAATCTTACAATCTATAATATGATCATACTATTTTGACTCAATGAAAGACCTTCGGTGGATAATTGAAATGTAGAGAGTGGATGGGGCATGATAGATTTTACGCTACTATAATGGTGTGAATAACTAACACAATCTGCTTCCTCCTTCCCATAACAGTGGAATTTTGCATAAGATGAAGGGCAGGCAGGGGAACAAGTGACCTGCAATTGAATTGTCAATGGCATCTCCAACTCACAACTCAATTTTGGGCAACTGGCATAACCAAGTAACACAACATCAGGGCAACCGCAACAATTTCTACCCTCAATATAGTGGAAGGGTGATTAAATTCCTCAAAAATAATATTTATCAAACAAAAAAAAATTCTTCAAGAATAACTTAGAAACAACCCACATTAAAATATTTTCTTCAACACCTGTGCAATTATTTTAATTTAAGAAGTATGTGAACAATCAAACACAAATCAATGCACACAGGAACGTTCTCAAGTTATGATCAATTGACAAGAATTAGATAAAATACCAGCAGCAGATTTCAAATCATACGTGGGCACTGTGAAAGCCTGTTTCTCCACAAGTACAGCATTTGATACCGTAGATGAAATGACAGATGCTAATATTATCATGGCAGTAGTAAATGGAGGAGAGTTTTCTGCACGAAGAGGCCTTAAAACAGTTTCGATAGCAAAGAAACAACCAGCCACTGCTGCATTGAAACCTGAGTCAAAGACAAAAAACTATAATATATCAAACACCATAAAAGTAAAAAAGCAGAAAAAAGATAGACATAATGCAAAGGCACATTATAATTAACAAATCAGCAGGAGAAAGGGAGGCCAACTTGCAAGCAGACCTAAAGATTAAGCACAAAATGAAGCATTACGGATATATACGTGTATATATATTGATAAGTAAAGAGTGGAAATAGTCTAAAAATTTACGGATATCACAAAGAGAAAGAACCATTATATCAATAATCAGAGAATCTTTCATCCCCATAAAGGAAATACTCTAGCAGAACTAGTACTGCTTCACATTCCCTGCCAAAGCACGCATACAAAATCAGTGTGTACAACTCTCGGTAAAGAAAGATACAGGCCAGAAATACATGGCAAGATACAGCTCCAAAAGGTAACAGTACATACTCCAATTCCTTCTTGCCTGACATGTAGAGGTACAAGCCTCACAGAATTTTTTTATTTTTTATTTTTCATTTTAAGAATAGTGCATATCTGTAGCAGTTCCTAAAGTAAAAGAGAAAACAGAGAGAGAGATATCCTCAGAGAAATGCTCATCCAGAAAGAAGAAAAAAGAAAAGAAAAGGAGAGAGTAAGTGAGTGGTAAAATAGTAACAAGAATAAAATCTGATTACCTGAAGCTATCCCAGCAGCTGCACCAGCAGCAACAAGAGCTATTTTTCTTTCCCTGTTGTTTTCCATCATTACTGAGCACCCATTGGCACATGATTTTCCAATATCTACACTAGGGCCCTCAGGACCCAATGAACAACCAGTACCTAATGTAACAGCAGCCTGGATGGCTTTTATAGTGGGGAAGACTCCAGCAAGCAAATCAAAGCCTTGTCCTGGAGAAGAACTGGACTGCTTTATTTGGTCTAAAATTTCAAGTAAACCATGCATCATTCCAACAATAACTCCTCCTGTGACGGGTATTAGAAGTATCCGATGCCAAGTATCAGCTAGCCTTTGCAAACGAAGCCAAGCAGCACCCTCATTTGGAGTACCAGCCCAGGCCCATTCATGTATTACATGCACCTATAATACACACATGGATATCTTGGAGTCAACAAACAACTGGGAGTAGCAACCGATGAGCAAATATGCAAAGGTAGAAAAAAGTGACCAAACAAGAGTGGTTATGCCCATGGTAAGATCCCTATTATCGACAATTTGAACCAAAGGAGGCAAGTGATAGTGAATTGGTTGTATATGTGTAACCAGGGGGGCAAATCGGTGAATCACCTTTATAGTAGATTTTTCCCCTTAGAGTGGCAGAGCTTCTTCATTGTCGAAAGAGGAGAAAGAAGAAGTGGCTCTTGATTCCCATATGCATTATGTAGATCATTTGAGGAGAGTGGGATCGTAGGTGTTTCAATGGATAGAGGTTCCTTTGTGCTAGGGTCAGGAAGAGGAGGAAGAAGATTTTACATTATGTACGTCATTTGGGGAGAGCGGAATTGTAGGTCATTTGATGGATAGAGGTTCCTTTCATGCTTACATTTATTCTTCTCTTATATATAGAAATAATGAATCTTTCCTTCATTCATTAGAATTCAAGATCTTATTAAATAAATTACTTAAACCAATCTCCCTATTTATCACCCAAACACTTGCAAACTTCGATAGGAATTCCATTTTCTCGTTTACCTCCGTTACTCTGATCTTGTCAAAAAATTTATAATTAATATTACTAATGAAGTTATCAAGTTTTTCCTATTCACAATTCGCATCTTTTTATACTATCCGGTGGCATAATCACTAGTCTTTATGACCCATGGCAACCATTGCACCAAACAGCTCTCCAGCCACCTATTGTTGTTGCTATCATTAGATGCATTCATTTTTAATCCTAACCCTTACTGTCATTATATTTATCCAAGTCAACCCCCTAGTTTGTTTCACACTGAGACCAGCTCCCAGAATCCAATTTTCTTCTCCAGTCATTCTTTAGCATCTATGGCACAAACCCAACCTCTTGGCTTAGGTCAACTAGTAAATCTTCCCTTTGATTTTCTCATACTAATAACTATATACAAATTCAATGTACTAACACTGAAATTCATCATCAACATGAGTATATCAAGAGATCCTAACCTAATCAACCAAAATTACCTAATTAAACTGAATTCAAATTGCAATGAAAGAGAAGTAAAAAGTAAACAATGACTCACTCCACGGTTGAAAGCGGCAACACAGAGACCAGTAGCGAGGCCAAGAAGGCAACCAACGAGCAACAACGCCCATTCTGGCGGAGCGCTATCGCCGAGGATGTCATCACCGCCACTCCCGCTGGCGCCATGATCTACAGAAGATGAATGATCCCTCTCCGAACGCTTGATGCTGAGACGACGCCCTGAAAACCCTCGATCCAATCGCTTTAGCAGATCTGCAAGGCCTTTATTACTCTTGCGATGTCCTTGACTCTCTAAATCGCCCTCTGAAGTTGACGAATTCGATCGCAACAGTATGGCATGATCGCTGTATTCAACTCCTCCTCCTCCTGACATCTCTAATTCCTTCTCATAACTCCATCCTAATACCTATATACATATATCGTATGCATATGTATGTATAATGTGCATATATACACAATAAACCTGTTACATAGAAGCTTTGAAGACGGTGAGAAGATCTTCAAGCAAGAGATGACAAACTATGAAATTCACGCCCTAATTACACCGGTGATGATTGGAATTTGAATTTGCTTCGGATCCTTCTCGCAGTGATCTCAGAATATATACATGTGTCTGTGTATATAATGCCTTCCTCGGACAATTGTCAGAATAAATTTTTTTTTTTTGACCACTTTTGCAAGATGCTTGTATTCGACTTCTATATTTTCTCGGCTACCAAACGTCCCGAATGGAAAATTGTAGGGCGGGTTTGGTTTGTATTTCAAGATTAATTTTTGAGAAAAAATTTAAATTTTTTTTTTTTTACATAACAATTAGTTTTTTTTTTTCTTTTCTTCTTAATCACTTTTTTTTATCATACACATTTATTCAACTAAATAAAATATTAAATTATTACAAACTCTCAAATTCTAAAATTATTTTTAAAATATACAACTAAAAAAATTTTAAAAATTTATTTCAAAATACAAATCAAATACACCCACAGATTCCTCGCTCTATTTACGACGCTATCACGGACCTATTTAGGTCTTGTTTGTCATAACCTAAAAAAATCAAAAAGTCATTATTTTATTTAAATCACATCATCTTATTTAAGTCACATCATCTCTCTATCACACAATTTCAAACCACATTCATACCCAACTCATATTTCATAAAAAGTCAAAAAATACACTTATTTAGATCATCCCAAATAATCCCTTAATTAAAAAAGAAAAATGTTACTAATAATTTTATTAAAAACATACCTATTCAAACATTTTTAACAATTAATTATATTTGATAAGATTATTAATATTTGTAAAATTATTTAGAATAAATTACAAATATACTCCTTGAGATTTAATTAAAATATGAATTGTCTCTCGTAGTTTTGAAACTTGCATTCCACCCTCTGAGATTTCTAATTTCATAACAACTCGCCCTTTTTATTAATAAATCATCAAATCAATTAATATTTTTTAATAATGTTATAAATATATTTCAATTAATAATTTATGTAATTTTGTAATTGTAGATGAAAGCAATTATGAATTTTATTTTTTTAGTTAATTCTGTTAAATAAAAAATTCTAACACCAGGGCATTTATAATTTTTTAAACCACAAAGGCTCCGTTTGGGAAGAGCTAGATTGGGCTTTTTTGGCTATTTTAGCCACAAAAGACAAAATAAACTATTTTAGCCACAAAAAATAAAATATCACATTCAACCCATAATCATTACACTATTCTCTCACAAAAAAATTAAAAAAGCCAAAAACTTCTTCCTAAACTAAACTTTTTAGCCCAGACTAAAATAGCCAAAAACGTCAAAAAGCCAAAAAATCAACCCATTTCTCAAACCAACCCAAAGAGTCTATATTTTAAACAAATTTTAAGGAGTGTATTTGTAATTTATACAATTATTTATTAAAAAATATCTGGATATACATTTCAACGTGGCAATTAAATAAGTTTTAGTATTTAGATTTTTTAATTCCATAATAATATTATTTATTCATTCTTTTCAGAATAATTAATGAATTAATATCATTTATTCATTCTTTTCAGAATAATTAATGAATTAATATCTAAATAAATTAAATTGACATGACAAATTAAATAAACAAATTACTACAGTTGAAATTATATGAATTAAATTAATATAATAGACAAATTATAAAAAGATATTTTTTTTATCCGTTTTTATAGGGCTCATTGCACCATTACGGTAAAAATATATAAGATGATTAATAAATTGAATATAAAAATTTAGTAAAAATATATAAGATGATTAATAAATTGAATAACATGCACACATTGAATTTGCCGTGGACTAAAAAGTTACATTATTACGTAGAACTTTGCAATTTTACACAATAATGTTCCGTTTTGGTCACATGATTATTTATGAAAATTTATTTAGTTGACTAGGTCTCGTGTTTGGGAACAGGTTTTTTTAATAATTTTTTTTATTTTTTGATTAAAATATAATATAAAAAATTAGTATATTTTGGATATTTTTTTAATTTTTTATGAAAAAATGCACAAAAAATAAAAAGAAAATAGAATCTTTGAATTTTTGGTATAGATTGTTGACTTTTTGATTTAGTTAGTGACTTTTTTATTTTTAGGCTAAAAAGTAATGTTGCTAAACGAGGCCATCTATGTATAATCCAACGTTAATGAAACAATAAACTAATGTATGTTTGGTTTCGTTTGGGAAGTGAGTTGGTTTTTTGACTTTTTAATTTTTTTGGTTATTTTAGCTTAGGCTAAAAAGTTTGGTTTGGGAAGAACTTTTTAGTTTTTTAAACTTTTTTGGTGAGAGAAGAGTGTAATGATTTTGGGTTGGATGTGATGTTTTGTTTGTTGTAGCTAAAATAACCTATTTTGTCTTTTGTGGTTAAAATAGTCAAAAAAACCCATAAACCATCTTCCCAATGTTTTAGGTAGGGTTGAGCAGCGAATATCTGTCTAAACCGACCGAATCGAATCGATCCGCCGCATTTTGGATGGATGCGTGATGATGAGCAGATGGTTGTGGATTGATTTTTTTCAATCCGCCTAATTTTGGACAGATGGTGGATTTGAGATTCCTTTAGCCGCAATCAAACTGTCAAACTGCTAGCACCCCTAGTAATTTATAAGACATTGTATTTTCAATTTGTTTGGATGTTCTGTTTATATTTTCAATTGAAAAAGAGTTTAGATATTATGTTGTGTTTTTAATTTGTTTTCAATTTAGAAATCCTTTTATCAAATGACAAGTGTTAATATTTTTAGTATTTTTATGTGGAAAATATAAGGCTTAATTTTGTTATTTTTTTTTAAATCAAATTAAATAGTTTTTGAATAAAAAAAAAAGTAATGAAATAGTTTTGATAATGCATGATTTTTTTATATATATTTATTATTGGTATTTGACAATTTATTTTATAATTTTTTAATTATGTTAAGTTAGATTGTTATATAAAAAAAAATGTTGACAAGTTGTATTATGTTCAAAATTTATAAAAGTTTAAACCACCAAACTGATTTGCATTCATTTACCAATTCATCAATTTGCTCAATCCACATCTTTCAATCTGGCGGATGAATGCAGATTGATTTTTTCCAATCCGACAGACAAATGGTGGATTAAAGATTTTTTCGACCGCAACCGAACCACGAACGCTCCCAATTTTAGGCAAATAGAGTTCTTTTTAACTAATTCTTGTGATCACGTAATCTACCCGTAAAAAACTAATTGAGTTAATTAAGTTAAACCACCTCTATACATTTCTATATGAAAAATCAAGAGATCAATATTTACTAAAGTTTGACATTTTTTCCCCTATTATGGCTTCGTTTGGGAAAATGGTTGGCTTTTTGGACCATTTTAACTTAGGCTAAAAAGTTTAGTTTGGGAATGACTTTTAGCTTTTTTGACTTTTTTGATTTTTTTATGAAAGAAAAAGTGTAATGATTATGGGTTAGATGTGATATTTTCTCTTATTGAATTAAAAAATCTATTTTATTTTTTGTGATTAAAATAACCAAAAAAACCTCAAATCTTGCTTTCCAAACGATTGTGTTGTTTATTTACTTATTGTTATTCCTTTTTTTTTATAAAGTTAGTTGTTGAACTTGTTATTTTTTCTTATTATGTTTTTTTTTTTTTTCCTAAGCTTTCAGTTATGATTATCAAGATGTAATTCTTTTTGTATTATAAATATTTTTTTATTGATTTTTTCAATTAATGAATAGTTGATGGAGACAAATAAGTCCATATTATTCAGGGTATTTGTATGAGAAAAAATGGTGGAATGGAATAAAAGTTGCATCAACTTTCATTAGACTTCAATAACATTGGTGCTTAGGATAGTGGTAATGCCAACAGTGCCCACCACTGAAAAATCTCAAGATAACATTATAATGTTGTACATGAAAACATTAAAGTAGCACTTCAATCAAATAAAATTTTGGTGGCCGCCACCTCACTCAAATAAAATTTGTACCATCTTTATCATCTAAAATGTTAAAAATTTTAAAAATTCTATCAAATGTCTCACGTATGTGTGACCCACATAAAACATACATTATGTGTATCTCACATCCATGTAAAATATTTGATAAAATGTTTAGTATAACTTTTAGGATCTTTAACATTAATCTCTCTATCACAAAGGACACACCACAATATTGCCACATAACATAAATTAATCACTTTGATTAGATTAATGTGTATTCAAAGTAGGTTTGGTAGTGCTTAAACGATGATCAACATGCACACAAGTTTACTTTTCAAAAATTTCAACGTGACCCCAATCAAAACTCTCACTAATTAAATAGAAAAATAAAAAGTTGTGGGCTGCTTCTAAATACAACTATTTTATCTTCAATTTTTTTTCAATGAGTCTAGTTTTCTTATGTAATTTTCAACTATTCCATAGTAACATATAAATCAAATCTCAACAAACTCAATAGAAGTTATATTGAAAAATTAGACCTTACTGTTTGATTTCTTTTTTTTCCCCTTTTCTTTGCACACCTACCACCTTTCTTTTTTCTTCCTTCACTATCTTCTTTTTTTTCTTTTCTATTTTTATTTTCATCCCACCACTATCAAAAAGGGGTAGTGCAAGTGAGTGGGGTGCGGTGATTTTAATTAGCATGGAATGGCTACTTCTTTTTTCTTTTCTATTTTTATTTTTATCCCACTATCAAAAAGGGGTAGTGCGAGTGGTGTGCGGTGATTTTTTATTGGGAAAAATGTTTGCGATTTTTTTTTTAGAATTTCTACAATCTCCTTTCAATTTAAATTATTAATGTATATATAAGACCCGCTCATATATATGTGAGACCTACAATTAAAATGTTAAAAATTTTAAAAATTCTATCAAATGTCTCACGTATGTGTGACCCACATAAAACATACATTATGTGTATCTCACATCCATGTAAAATATTTGATAAAATGTTTAGTATAACTTTTAGGATCTTTAACATTAATCTCTCTATCACAAAGGACACACCACAATATTGCCACATAACATAAATTAATCACTTTGATTAGATTAATGTGTATTCAAAGTAGGTTTGGTAGTGCTTAAACGATGATCAACATGCACACAAGTTTACTTTTCAAAAATTTCAACGTGACCCCAATCAAAACTCTCACTAATTAAATAGAAAAATAAAAAGTTGTGGGCTGCTTCTAAATACAACTATTTTATCTTCAATTTTTTTTCAATGAGTCTAGTTTTCTTATGTAA